TTACGTTACCGTTACGTTACGTTACTTACGTTACCGTTACGTTACGTTACGTACGTAGTACGTACGTAAGTAGTAGAGAGAGAGAGAGAGAGAGAGAGAGAGAGAGAGAGAGAGAGAGAGAGAGAGTCCTCTAATGAACTGAGCTTTTCTGTTGTTTCCTCAATAACTTGTCAATTAGGAACTGGATGAGATGAAGAAGAGGCTTAAAGAGATGGAGGAGGAAGCTGCTGCTCTGCGTGAGATGCAGGCCAAAGTCGAGAAGGAGATGGGCGCTGTTCAAGGTTTCACCCTCCTCCTGCAACTTAATCTTTTTTCGTTTTTAACTTTTATCATTAATGGAGCGATGAGATGTGTGATTTCCGAGCAATTATTTGTATTATCGACACTATCTTATGTCATATTGATTGAATCGTTTTCTTGATTCAAGGATCATTTGTTTCTTTTTGTTCAGTTAATGTTAGGAATTGGGTTTGGGCTAGATTGTTGAGGGTGTTGATGGTTGCAGTACTTTTTCCCAAGTTGGAAACTGCTACTACCCTTGATAATGTTTTCCCCATTTTGTCTTTTCTTTTGAGTGATGCGTAGTTTTCAGTAATGTTTAACTTTTGAGCGTTGATGGGACTTAGATTGATATATTCTTCTCCTTGTTTTGGATTCTACTGTCCTTGCCGCCAAATTTCAGGCTTTTTTTTTTAATTGGTTTAAAATCAGCACATTTGTTCATGTCCATTTTTGGGAAACTTGAATGAGGCAGCTAAAACAACAGTCGTTTACAATCTCCATGTGGTCTTGATTTTTTCTTGTTGCATTTATTTATTTACTTTTGCATAATATAGTGGGTGCATAAAAGGCATGGAAATGGTTTTTTCTTTTTGTGGTTTCCTATACCTGGAAATGTTCTCTGTAAAGTATCTGTTAAAAGTATAGATTCGGGTGTAGTTTAATGGGGATGGGTCCCCTACCCGTGGTAGAAATGAAACTCGACGTGGCGACCCACCACCCCGATCACCTAACCTTGAGTCCTCTCCTGTGTTCTTGGATTAAATATGGTGGAAAATTTGTAGCTTGGTCAGAGAAAAAAAGTTAATAGGGGTTTAATGTCCCCATTTAGGTCCAATGGCTTTCCTTAAACATGAGGGTCTATTTGGGATCACTATTGCGGGACGGGAGATTTACATCTTTTTTGCCTTTTCCTATTAGAGACTTGTTGAGATCTTCATAGTCTTGTCATTTTCTGGGGACCATTGTTAAATAAATTGTGACAGACATTGAGCTGTACTTCAAGCATGCAATGGATGGTATGCTTTTATAAGTTTGAATTTTTACCCTGACTTCTATCTTGCAATACATGGCGTGTCTTTTGTGTGCTTATTTTTATCATTGCCCCTAATCTAACCCAAATAGATGAAGAAAAGTATCTTTGCCCAAAAATGATTTGCAATGAAGATCAATGGTATTACTTGGAAAGTATTCTATTCAAGAATGATGCAGTTCAATAGCTATGAAAATCCATATAGATAAATGTGCACACACACAGTTATATGCTTATGCATATACATACACATATGCATGCATTATCTATAGTATATGGGATTATCTAACATGCTTGTAGCATAGCTACCAGGATCTCTACTTTGGTAGGCGATCCCTTCTAGGATCTCGATTCTGTCGCTCTCGGAACGGATCTCTCAGGTATCTCGATTTTTAAATTTTGAGATCTCGAACTCCATTGATAGGGATCCTGATTCCTGTAGTTAGGGATCTTGATCCCAATGTTAAAGACCAAGACAACAATGTAACTGATGATTTTCTTTGTTTATTGCCAACTAATAACATGACTATTGCTTGCTTGCTATCAATAATGAGATCCCTACTTTAAAAAGTATACATATTCCTAAATAATCATACACTTTAAGGTTAGTAACTAGATCCCCAAAAAAGTTGGGATCAAGATCTCAAAAGGTTGGGATCAAGATCCCCAAAAGGTAGGGATCAAGATCCCCAAAAGGGCGGAATCTCGATCCTTAACATTTGGGGATTTCGATTCCTAAGATGTGTATGTACGGACGACGTTCCCAACTATAAGGATCTTCTAGCATTTCATGATCCCTCGCTTCCGATCCCGATCCCGATCCTGGTACCGTTCCTACTCCCGATCCCAACAACTATGGCTTGTAGTATGGTGAGGATTGTTATCCTATTTTTTGTTCTATGGACACTTGATGCCCCTAATATATGCAGCAATTTTTTTTTAACATGTTTATTCTCATCTTTTCATTTTTTTGTTAACAGCAAGGGGAAATTTGTTAAAAAAAAATAATGGCGTGATTTAGATGTATGTTGGTAACATGCACAACCTACCTACTGTTATCGAATTTTTCTGCCCTCGACTGTTGAGGCAGAAAAGAAATATGAAACAAAAAATATGTCAATATGACGACAGTAGGTCGGTTGTGCGTGCGTGTGTGTGTGTGTATTTTGTTTTTGTGGGGGGGGTGGGAGGACTTGTTTGTGGGTCTATCCCTTTAGTATTTGATGAATATCTTTTGCTTTTGGTTGATTGTTTTCTGGTTTTTCTCTCTCCTTTGCTCCTTCTTCCACATCTCCTTTGATTCCATGTCCACATAATGTCTTGGATGGGGGAGTCTAGAGTAGGGATTGGTGTCACTCTAAGTTTCTTGTATTATTTCATCGTAATATTTTGCACAGCAGTTTGAAAAGTTACTTCTCATCCTCATCATTTTTCATAGCCTGTTACTTTACCTTCTTATGAGATTTCTAACTTTATATTAGCAAATATGTTATTTGGTCTCTTCTTTATTGTCTAATACGATTTGGATGGATGGAGTTTTGACACTGCCTCTCATCTTCATCTCGTTATCTCCTGTTCTTAATAATATTTTAGCTTCTTTAACCCTTCTTCGGTAATCCTCTTGGACATTCTACCATTTCTAATTTTCTTGCTTTACAAAACGTGTTGAAAGAAAGATTCTGTTCAAATGTAATTCAAATGCGTTAATCTATGTTTATCTTATAATATTGTTACTAATAATAATGTTAGGGTGCGGTTTGTATAGAGCCGAGGCTCTAAACAATTAAAGTAAAGCACACCTTCAAATAATGTCGAGAAATGTGGTTTCAATACTAAAAATCTTTGTGATAGCCTTAAAATATATTCTAATCTTTAATTATAAAATTTAAAGCTTCAAAAATAGTGTAGATCGAACAGATCTATGAAAACTTGAAAATCTTGAAAATTGACGGTCAAAAAATGCATTACAAGATACACTATTTCCAAACCTTGAAAACCATTTTTTCTCATGTCCATGCATCTTGATGTCGAGATGATGAATTTGAGGATATTTGGGTATCAAAACAATTCTAGTGAAATTTTTGAGGTGGGCTGTAATTTGATTGTTTAGAGCCTCGGCTATGTATAAATTTTTTCCTTATTATTATTATTATTATTGTTGTTGTTGCCATTATCATTACTATTACTACAATGTTACCATTATCATTACTACTACTACTACTACTTTGGATTGGTAGCTCTTTAAAACTTGATGCCAACCAATTCTCGTAACCAAAACTTTGAAATATTTTTCACAAATATGACTCTACTATAGGTCGATTTAGGAAGTTAGTCAAATAGCCGAGAAGGAGAGAAGTTATTTTTTGGATTTTACTAGAAAGTCCCAAGAAAAAATTGGCTTTGAAACTTGAACTTATGATTAACTGCAAGACCCATTATATTTGAGGAGAGGCAAAAACCTAACTCCAAATTGAGAATTTTGTATAAAAAATATAATTTCTTTTTTATCAATTGGGAAGCTTGTTTCGTCTTAATTTTCATGTTGTACATTCATTCGTGTATGGTTCATCCTCACCATCCGCTTCCGAGAATCAATGACACTTTCTTTGATATTGCATCATGGAAACGAAAGTGGTAGATGTATGAAAACATTTCCCCTTTAATTTCTTCTTACCGTTTCAAATTGGCTCATCTTATTGTTTCCTACATTCTGTGCTATTTTCTATATTGATGTTCTGGTGACAAATTCTGGAAGTTCGTCAATCTTTCAGGGGGAGTAAAGATTATGCTGTTTAAAACGTTCATGGCAAATACTAACCTCTGTCTCTTTGTGATAAACTGTTTTGGGTGGTGACATAAAAAACATGGGTGGTACTATTACCTTCCTTCGCTTTAATTCCCTAAAAAGAATATTAGCCCTCTTATTCTAGGTTTTTAATATTTCTTTCTGGGCCTTGACAATAATTTCTATAAATGATGTGCTGATGTTCAGTAGTCTGTAGATTGTTTAGCTGTGTTTAGTAGGGAATTCCTGGTTTGTCACTTTACTTTTGGTTGACTTAGAGATCTTTATTTGATGACTTGGTGGAGCGTTTGAAATCTCTTTTCTCTGGAGAGAGATGATAGGTTGCCTTAGAGATGGAGTTCTGTTGGTAAATTATCTTGAAGCCTTTTTTTTCTCTTCATCCAGTGTGCTTTAAGGAGGCCAAAGGCTATAAATGTATCGCTTCTTGAGCTTGGGTGCCTTGGATCACTTACTTAATATTGCTCCTACTTAATGTTCATTTGGATTTTATTCTTCGGCTAGTTCAGAATCCATTGCTCCTAATTAATGAAACGTGCCTTTGAAAACCATGTTAGGGGATTTGTTTGACTCCAAATTTTAAATATACACTCTTTTCATTTGGATGATTAATCTAAAAACAAAAAGATTTTTTGGAAACACACTCGAAAAAGTGTCCTTTTAACCTAATGAGCATAGACCCTCCCTTCAATGAGATGATTAGATCTAGACTTTAGAGTAATTTCTTTTTAATCACAACTTTTGTATTTGGCCATAATCATTAGATGATCTATTTTGAAAAAGAGAAATAGATTTTGAGTTCTTAAAGCCTACATCTCAATGTCCACCAAATAGATGTGTTGGTCCTATGTTGGTGGAGTCACTGTGACCTTTTCTATGGTGTAAATTCGATTTTTTTTTGGGGATTTGTTATTGGTATGAGAGGGTGTGCATCCAAAATTTGGGGTCATATAATTGCCAGGAATATGTTTTTATTAAATAGCGGTTTCACGGTGACATAAAATTGCCATTTTATTTATTTTTATGTATTGGGGTTGGTTTTTTTTTTTTTTGGGGGGGAGGCCAGCCTGGTCTGCCATACCAATTATCTTATTTAAATATAAGGATGGAGGTATGAAAGATTTGCAGTAGGATTGGTGCTTCTATTTGGATAAAAATGTGGACCAACATTTCAGGTTGTTCTATCCTCATAAAAATAGGGACATGGTCCTTGCCGCATCCTAGATACTCAATGGTTGTACACTTGGAGGTAGAAGACTTGAATGTGAGGAGGGACCCATCTCTCTCTCTCTCAGTCACACAATCGATAATGGGATTTATATACATCTATCTCCATATGGCCCATTTGGAAGTTGTGGATAATGATGCGGTACCAAACAGCCTCATTGTCATGTGGGGCAAAACACTTTTACTAGTTTTGTCTCCATGACTCTTTAGTGCCATTTTCCATACAAGCGAGGCCGATATTTTCTTGCTATCCCAAATGTTGGGCATGTATGTAAAGCCTCCTATCAGCGTTTTACATGATCCATAGACGCTTAAGGATTAAGCAACTGTATCCTTAAATGATTGTAGTTCAAAAGTGTGAGGATAGTTATAAAAGCATACACACCCAAAACATGGGTAGGAACACATGCACAGATATAGGTATGGGGTTTGCTGGCACTCTTGATAAGGGAACTATTGGCAACTGATCGTCCTTGATCCCTGTCTTTCTTGTTCCATTTCCCTCTTCATTTTGCTTCGAGTGGGCTAGATGGCATTCTTCTTACCTATTGATATTCTCAAACATCTTGGATGAGGTCGTGGTCATGGCACAACGTGATTCGTGAGGCAGGCAATGCTCTCCCTAATGATGGGGAAGGGAATCAGTTGTGATTAGGTTGTCATTCCTGAATCCTTCTAGAGGCTCTTGATCCTCTTGCATCTGTCGCATTTCTTTCCCTTTCTCAACCCTTTTTCTCCCGAACTTTCTTTGTCACTGCTCTCTTCCATCCCGTTCAAGTTTCTTGTTACAATCCTGTTTTTCTGATCTTCAGACATTGCTTTGTCGTGCTTTTTCTGCTTTGTCACTCATAATAGGTTAATTTTTTACATCCTTTTGATTTATGTCTGAATAGAGTGCTACTTGATGTCTGCTTCTTTTCCCATAATTAACCATACCAAATAAAAAACAAAAGAAGAAATTTTTTTTGATGCACCATCTCCGACATTTTTCATTCTTTTTATGTCACTATATTCATGTCCATGGGTGAAGGAGGATCATCAGCTGCCAACAATTCCCTTATTAGGGGTGCCTAGGGAATCCCATTCCTGTATTTGTGCATGTGTTCGTACCCCCATTTTGAGTGCGTGTGTTTTTATAACTATCACATCCTTTAGAACTATGACGATTTAAGGATGTAGTTTTGTACTCCTTGAGGATGGGGAAGGGAATCTATGGTGATTGGCTTGCTTCTTGAGGCTCCTGATCCTCTTGCATTTGTCACATTTGTTTCCCTCTCGCAACCGTTTTCTCCCTAACTTCCTTTGTTACTGCTCTCTTCCAACCCCTTTTAAGTTTCCTGTCGTATTCCTGTTTTTACGATCATCAGACGTTTCTTTGTCCTTCTTTTTCTACTCTATGTCACTCATGATAGTTTATAGTTTTTTGCATCCTTTTGAGTTCCGTCTGAATAGAGTGCTACTTGATGTCTGCTTCTTTACCGATGGTGTGTTAATCAATTATAAAAAAAAAATGAAAACGATTTTGATGCACCATCTTCCAAATTTTTCCGTTCCTTTTTATGTCACTATTTTCATGTATTCAAGTTATGGTAAATCAGCTTGCCTCAGTTGCCATGTAGGGCCATTTGATTCAAGTGATATTATTTTAAATTAAATTCTTATTTCCTTCATCCGGTGGCACAGGTTAGGACTTAATATTGCTTTTTTTATTGTTATGATAATATGCTTCTTGCTTTTGTGGAATGTCGCCCGCTTTGTTGTTGACCATGTTGACTTATGCTTTGGGCTACCAACACAAATGTAGATCCTGCCAGTGTTGCTGCAGCACAAGCAAGCAGGGAAGAGGCAGATAATCGGTCGGTCTTTGTTGGTAATGTGAGTTTTGATTTTCCTTTCCATGTCTATAACTCAATAACTCGTCAGATTTTTGATGGATTGGAGGCCTTTGGAATTTTGTTGACAATGGCTCCTTGTTGTTCATGGCGTTTGGTGCTGCTTTTGTATTTGTATTTTGCTATCAATGTTGTTTTTAGCTTTCTACTCATGTATTGGTAGTGATATTATGATTGTTGAGAGTTAAAAATTTCAGTATTTGTTTTATTATTTGTTCTGATAAGCTATGATAAAAAAGATATTCTTTGTGAATATCTAGTCTCATATTTTCAAGGCAGTCTTAAGTTTTTAATTGTGATTGCCTAGCTTTTATGGGTGATGCGCTCCCATCTTAACTTGACTGGGGCCTCAGGTAAGATGGGCTAGTGGATTTTTCAAATTCCCTAGTCATTCATCTCCGGGGCCTTACTCAAACCCTGAAAACCCAGATGGTACTGGGGTTGTGAATGTGAGGGACTATAATTTGCTTATGGTTTCCTTTTGCAATTAGATATTTTTCCTAATATTAGTTTGTTCTTCTCCTTAGTTTCCTAGTACAAAAAGAGAACTGTGTAATACGTGGTAGAACTTTCTGAGAATAGTTTAGCATAAGATTCAGTGAACTGCGAGCTGATCTGCAAGGCCGTCATCTCTAAAACCGAGGTTTTGGATTATTGACTTGGATAGATGTAGAGATGATGATATTTCTTTGTTCTAAGGAGCGATGTTGAAATTACTGTTACGGTCACTAGATACAATTTATTCAGCTTCAGCTTCAGCTTCAAACATTATCTGTTTTTGATTTATGGGCCTTTTCTTTTCCCCTTTTCTTTTGAGTTATATCTAGAGTCATTGCATAAGGAAGGTCAAGTGTATGATAGGGAGGCTTTGTTTGCATTCCAAGGGGATACTGCTTTAGTTTCCATTGGATATTGCAAAGTCCAAAAGGCGAAATTTACGAAGTCCTTATTTCAAAGTAAATATTATCCTGCAACCTCTTGGGGGCCTAGAGCTGTCCCATGAGCCAGTTAACATTTTTAGGGTTGCAGGGTTGCCTCAATATTTGCTACTCATCAATTGCTTGTGATTTTACTTCATTTACATATATGCCATGATCAATGTAGGGAAGTGGTCAATTCCATACGTCTGTTTAATTTTCTGTCCATTATCACCCTCTTGTATAAACAATCAGTTGTCCAACAGTCTAGTGACATGTTTTATTGTGAGGAACTAACATGGAAGGGAAACCTCATTAATCATTGTGATCACCTTCTAGTTCATGGCCAAAACATACAAATTCTCTTGAGAGTCACACTAGCTTTGGCCCAACTGGCATTGTTAGTGCCTGAAGGTCCTGCACAACATTCAAGAATAATTTTGTCTTTACTGCTAGTACTAACTCAACCAAAACCTGATTGCTTCAATGCCTTTGTATGTTCCTTTTATCTCCAGCAAACAATATTTTTTAAAAGGTCTAGTTCTTTTCTATATTGATGAGCTTTTATACACTGTAGAATCTACTTCTGTTCAATTGTGATTTTCATCTTCTAATTCTTCACACCTCACTAACCTTAAATCATGCTGCTCTAGGGTTTGACATGGAATCAGAGCAGCAACTTGTCTGGTCCTCATGCAATTCCATGTATACAATCTACATCAAGTACTTTCAAAGAAACCCGGAATTATTACTCTTGAATTAGGGTTGACCACATTTTTACGAAGTAGGAACAGTTATCATCTACTGTAAGGATTACGTGCGTATTACAATCCTAAATTTTTTGATGTTCTCATCAATCTATGTCCACTGATATGCATATAGACGGTTATTCCATTCAAATCAAGGCCTAAATACCTAATTAGGGTTTTGTGATAGACTTTGAGGACTCCTGCAAATCTCACTGGTGCGAGGCTTTGTTTTATCTGACCTAGCCCTCCCTTATTTAGTTCAACCGTGTTGTTTCTCCCTAGAAATTTGGGGAGGAATGGAAAGTTATTGTGGTTTTCGTGATTGCCGACTTTTGTGTGCATTAGAGGATATTTCTTTTGAAAGTCGTGTAGACTGTCATTTTAAGGGGTTTCTGATTGATTCAGATGTTCCCCACAACCCCATACATCTCCAATCTAATTCTCTTGGTATTTAGATCCCTAAGAATCATGATTTGAGGAATTTTTTATTGACATGCATATCAAAATGTAAGTAGTTAGCTTTTCGTGGTTGATAGACAATTACTTGGCAAGTTAAGCATGACTGATATAAGATTGATAATTCTCTTGTACATGAATGCATTTTCGATTTGTAGTATATATTTATGTGGCATGATCATGTAGAATTGTTTCTATCTTAGGTCATATAGAAGTTAACTTTCATGATGTTTGGGATTCTTGAATTAAATCATGGGATATGGTGCTTTTCTATTGGCTGGTAGGATTGTGGATGCTTTTTATCTGCATCTGGGTTGACTGCTTGAGGTGTGAGATGATGGTTTCCTTATTGGTGCCTAGGCTTGTGAGTTAAGATGTTGGATTGTTGAGTACTTCAATGTGCTCATGGCTCGTAGTCCCACAAAACCCACATGGTAGCGTGTGGCCTTCCCCATTGAGAAGTTCCTTAGATTTATATGCTCATTTCTTTAGAAGGTTGGATGGATCTAAGTAGGAAATTCCCTAGGAGTGAAATGTCAAGGCATGATGTCAGATTCAACATTATATGTGAGTTGGAGGATTGAAATCAATGGAATCTTGCGAGTACAGCTTGATTTAGTGGATTTCAGGATTGCTGTAGTATATATTTTTTCTTTTGATAGGTATGAATTATTTCATTAAGGTATAATTCATTTACAAGTGTTCATTCACAAAATTGTCCCATCCTATAGACCTTTAAGAAACTACAAAAAATGAGACATCAAGGGAAGTTCTATGGACCCCCTTGCGTGCCAAATGATCAGCCATTGCATTGGTTTCCTTCTATGAGTTGTGGAGAGAGACTGACTGACTGCTAATAGAGAAGTTCTCTTCAAAGTTTCTCATTTTGAGTCTTCTTTTCTTCCCCCCTCCCCCCAAAAAAAGAAGCCTCCATGGACATGACGATTCCTTCTTCGCCCATGAGATGATATTTTCTGAAATCGCCTTCTATCTCCATCTCCTTCAATTCTACTGGTTTTGAATTTTGTTGGCCTATTGATAGCACCCACACCTCCACGTCAGTTGCATCATGATGCAGACTACTTTCCTAGGGCTTTAACTTTGACGCACAAGTTTGTTCTGGGTGAACCAAAGCTTAATCAAAGAGCTCTTTGAGATCTATGATCTTATCTTTATGGGCTTTTTGGACCTTTGAAATTTCGGGCTTCAAATCATGTTTGAAAGCCTGATGGAAAAATCAATGACGAATTTTAATTTTCATTAGTGTGTTAGGTATCTTTCTTTCCATTACTGGGTTTTAGAAGGCTAGGGTAGGGAACATAGTCAATCTTCTACTCTAAAAATAAAACATAGTCAATCTTCTGGAAAGATCAAACATTTAGAAGATTGTGGTCTCAATGCATAATAAAGTTAAGAGTCTTCAAATCAATCAAGTTGAGTAATAAAAATTGATTTTTCAATTTACTGTGAGAGGCCATTTTCAGAGTAGAGATTCCTCCAACTCGTTTTGTAGAGAGTGATTCTTCAACTCTAACCTAGGATTGGAAGAGTCTCTCCCTAAGGTTAGAACCCCCATATTTTTTTGGTGGAGAGATTCCTCATAACCTTTGTGGGTTGGTGGTGTACATGCTTGGTTTCCTTCTTTCCCCTCTTGTGTAGCAAATCCTCTTCTAAAATTCCCCACAACCAAGTTTGTCACTGATTCAAGTGCTGCTATAAACAATCTTGGTTCAACTTTCCAAATCTCAGCTATATGCCCAACCCTCCCATGGCACTCAAACTTTAGTTTGAACCCAAGATTGGGCCTTATTGAACCCTAGGATCTCCATCTCATTATCCTCGTCTTGCTGGACTTGCTAAACTCTAGCAACTTTAACCTCTATTAAATGTCACACCCGAAGTTTACTAACATTTTTGAGGTGCAACAAGCTATTCTTATATTATATATATATAGAACAATATTCAGAATTTCTACTTATGTATTGCACCAATTGGATTTTTCCATTTTTTAAAATTTGTACAAGATCTACTCACAACTAATATTAACAGTAAGGTCCATTCAGAAGTTTCCCAATTGTACAAAGTACACTTTCAACTTATGTTAACATGAAGGTTCATACATTTACAATTTTGATGGAACAAAAGTTTCAAAAATATTTGATCCTGATTACAATTTCTCCCAAGCTACTCCTGCTGTACAACGCATGATGAGGCTGCCATTAGTATGAAAAGAATTCACAACAGTTTGATGAGCTTGAATACTCAGTAAGTGATTGTCATTATCGTAAATTCATAATTGGAAAATGTAATAGGTTTTAAAAGAAACAATATGAAGAGGAATATACATGAAGAATGGTTTTAAGTTCAAAAACACACAATTTAATATAATCCCAAGGATTGAGCTGCATACAAACACTTTGACAGAAATGCATAATTCGGGAGATTTCACAAAATACCCTACTGGTGTCCTAAGTAGGTCACCTATATACCCCACCAGCGTCCTGGATGGGTCCACTTAATCCCTACAGGGCCAATCATACCTCACCGACGTACCGCATGAGTCCACTTAATCCCTACTGGCGTACTGGATAGGTCCACTTAATCCCTGCAAGTCCACTCATACCTCACTGACGTACTGGATGAGTCCACTTAATCTCTACCGGCGTACCGGATAGGTTTACTTAATCTTTACAGGTCCAATTATACCTCACCGGTGTACCGAATGAATCCACTTAGTCCCTACCGGCATACCAGGTAGGTCTACTTATACTTAAATTATCTCTGAAACTTCTTTAAACATCAGAAAGCAGCAATATCATACATTGAAAATATCTTTGAAATCCCTAATGTGAATTTACTTG